AGAAAACTAAAAATCCAAATATTATTTCTATTTTTTTAGTTTTTGGCTCATAAATGGTCTCGTTTTGGTAACCTAATTTATTTTTTGTGCGTAACAATAATGTGCCTTTTACAGCTTCAAGTGATGGAAGCTTGTCGCAAAAATACTTTGAAAACATCCAGCTGTGATGGCTTAAGCTCAGAATCTTTACACGTTACACACCTGTTTGTTTTTCTTTCACTTGATGATTTATATCCTTATGTGTACATCTTGTTTTTTTTACCAAGGATTTTTTTTACAAGCTTCTGGACCTGAACTTATGTACATGTTTAAAGTTCAGTTTGTATCTGAGCCCCCTGCAGCAAACTGGCTCTGAACCTGTTAATCGACTTTGACCTGGATCTAATTGGAACGGCTGGGAAATCAGAGAAGAGGGTTGCAGATTGTAATGAGGACAGGTTGAAGGCAGCTTGATTTGCCTTTTTACGTCTGTGTTTTTGTTTCACCTTTGCATGTTGGAAAATCAGCAGTCAAATGAGTATGGAAGAAGATAGGCAGGCAAAACAGGGCAATTGCAACCTGCTCTGTGTTGTTGCATTCATTCTCCTCACTCAGGGCAAGTAATCAGGTACAGTATTAGTTTATAAGTGTTTATTTATGGGTTAAATTTACCAACATCAGTTGGTCATTTTTACATGAACATTTTACTTTATCCAAAACGTTATTTATTGAGGAATGGGTTTTAAACTTTCCTGCTGTGGTCACTTCTATCATTAATTCAAATTTTCACATTTTTCCCCCCCAAACTGTCAGTTGGAAATCAAACTTTTATGCGTAAAAAGTAAATGCAGATGTGGACATTTAAAATGTGCTACTGCAGTCTTTAAAGTTACTCTGAGTTAACTCAGACTCAGACACCCAGACAAGCTGTATATGTATTCCTGGCAGCAACTAATGACTGTTTTTATTGTAGATTATTTCGATCAGATGTTTGGTCCCTAAAATGTCAATAAATGATTAAAAATGTGGATCAGTGTTTTCTCAAATGTCTTATGTTGTCCAAAAATATTAAGTTTACTGTCATAGAGGCGGAAAGAAACCAGAAACATATTACATTTAAGAAACACAGAATTTCGATGATAAAAAAAAAAAGAGAGAAAGTAACTGATTAATCAGTTATGAAAACAGTTCAAGATGGCTTTAATAGTTGACAGTGTGTGCACGTGTGAAAGATGATGAACTCTGCCAGTGAAACACTCATTCAGCTGTGGACAGCAGTGACCCTCCTGTCCTAAAGAGGGCAGTCTGTTGAGGAAGCAGCAGGATGCTCCTTTAAGCTCCACTCAGTCACCCTAATCAGAAACAATCCTCTCAGCTTCGCACCTTTGCTCACAGAAGCTGCTTCTCTTCTTTGCCTGCAAAAAGACTGTTTGTAAAGCAGAAGGAGGACGTTTGCTAAAAGGAACAGGGGCAACTCTGGATGTGGATGCTGCTTTTCATTGTGTTTAGTTGCCATGAAGTTTGCACAAAGTGGACGTTTACCAGCTGATGGTAACAAAGTCATGGCTAACTTCTGAGGAGAGCTGAGTGGAGGAAGACGAGGTCCGAAAAAGCTGGTGTTTGTACAGACGTCTTTTCTCACAGGTGATTCAGAAACCACGATAGAAATCTGAAACATCCGCAGAAATGTCAGCACAGTTAGAAGAAAATTTCTCTTTATAAGAGGATGTGGTTTAGGTCGAGTGGTTATACTCTAGTTTATTCTGACACAGCCTACACACATCTAGATCTAAACACTGACACACCGCTGGTTTTAGCAGGTAGCATCTCTCACACTTCTACTATTCTGCTTTACGACGTCTGTAGCATCTGAGCAATCAAATGTCTTTTTAAATAATACTAATACAACTACAAGGGTAGTGGCATTTAGCTGTTTTGTCGACTAATCGTGCATATTTCTAGTCGTAAAGACTGTTTAAAAAATGTGTTTAAAAAAATGGATGTCTGGCAGAAACGGTGCCAGAAACAAATGCAGTCTACATGGTACTGTATCTTTAAGATAGCAACTAATTGCAAATGTCTGCAAAACATTTATTTGCTCATCTAAACACAGTAATTCAGTGTAATTGCATGGCCACATACATTGTACTCAGGTTTTTGATGTGGACATTTTTTTAAAAACTTTTTTTATTTTTATTGATTTTTTATTACAGTTAACATGTAACTGAACACTTTATTTATTTGATTCTACTATATATTATTTGAAATTTAACAAACCAGATTATTTTTAAATGATTTATCATTTTTCAATACTCAACATGCTTCATTTTTCCTTCAAACAGCTGTAAAACAACAGTATTTTAAGCCTATTTAAATAGTACACCTGTGTAATTTGAGGTCAGATACTGTAAAAGAACAAATTACTATTTGTAAAAAAAAAACAAAAAAACCCAAATACACAGATTTCTGCTGTGGACATTATTTACAGCTTTGGCCTTTTATTTGCAGTTGACATGTTAATATTTTTTGGTGGGGATTTGACTGGGTATTATCTGTAATTTAACAACACAGGCTAAATCTGTACATTACTAGCTTATAGATGCATTATTCACCATTGTTAAATTCAAATTACAAAAAAAAAATAAATTAGAATGATTTAGTGTTTAAAAAAACATAAATCCAAGGGTGGTGAATACTTTTTATTGGCTCCGTATAGGGTCTCTGCAGCAGGATGAAGCTGCACTCATCCTGCTGCTGTGTGCAGCTCAGATCATCACTTTAACTAGGCGCTCATTTATCATTACTGTCAGTATTAGAAACCTTTCTTTGTTGACTTGACTTGCTGCTGGTTCAGTGTGTTTATTCATCACATTTAGCTGCTGGATGGAAAATTATCTTCACCCACAGTTTAACAGCTCGGAGCTGTTGCAGGTATGACCGCCCAGCGCTCGGTCGCAGTTCTCTCTTCTTCAGACTCTGTGAAAATATTGAAAGTAGATGAGAAATACCAGGAATTTATTCACCTTGGGACACAAATACAAGCTTGTTCTCACACTGCTCAGCAGTATTGAAACTATACACGACTTGACAGCGCAGTTCTTTGTTTTTCCTCAGCTGTCTTCGTACATTGCACTGTAAAGAAATACTGTAAAAATACAGTAAAAACTTTTATGGTCACACATTACAAAAGAACAAATTCATAGGTTATTGTTATGGACGTTATCTATGGTTTTAGCTAACTGGACTATAACTGAGAAAACTAGCAGGAGAATCAATATGGGGAGTTAATGTTAGGTATAAAGCTGATTTGTATGGTGACTTAATGTGTTTCTTTGAGTATGATGTGGATGTGTAATGATGTAAAGTTATATTCTGAGTATCGTTTGTAAGACGTCTCTGTCAGCTTCTAGCAGCGGCTCTGCTCTTAATTCTTTTATGTCCAGATATTGCAGTTATCAGACTTGGTTGTTGGAAAGAGCAGCTTAGATAATAAAAGGTGGTTATTTCCTGTAATGGGCTGTCACTGATCCATGCGATGTATAGGAGGAGAGGCTGTTGTTCCAGGACGGCATTTTGTTGTGACAGTGCCACCTATCACTTGATTTATCGCTAAAGTGTGTGACCTAAAGTTTTAAAGGTTTATTCCACCTAAAACTGTACATAGTTGTTGTTGGTTTTTTTTTTGCCAGAGTCTGTGGGCTAGAAAAACTAGCTGCTATTTGAGATAAAATGTAATTGTTTTAAAGGTTTATTCCACCCAAGATACTTCTTTCTGTCCAAGTAATTTTAGTTTTAAAGGTTTGTTCCATCCAAAATACTACTTTCTGTCTAAGTGCTTGTGATTTTAAAGGTTTATTCCGCACAAACAGCAACATCTGATGAAAAAGGTTTATTTCATTCTAAGCTGTACATAGTTAATTTTTTTGCCACTGTGTGGGCAAGAAAAGCTCCCGATTGGAATAAACAAGCGGTTGCCATGTTATCTGGCTCTAAAAATGAAAAACAAGGGTCCTAGAAATGCAGTCCAGAAAATGCAGCCTCCTTTGCTGCAGACAAACACTACTCGTTCCATGCAGCTCAAACATTGTGTGAGACTTTGTACTGAACTGGCTCTCTCGGGTGAGGCCATAAATCAAGCTGAGGAGCGAGTTTAGCTGCAACAACAAGTTCCGGAGAAAGAACCAACACCTCAGGCGTTTACAGATTTGTGAGGAATTTAGTTTGTTGAAGTTTGATTTTATGCGTGATCCTAACAAGCTGTTCTGCTGTTGATTATTTCATGTGAAATATTGAAGTTATTAGACGTGTCTGTCAGAAAAAGCTGCATCGACGTGAGCGACTGATGCATAGAGCTCAAAGAAAATTGACTTTGCTGTGAGACTTTGCCCCGAATCAGGTTTCTCAGGTGGCACCTTTTCCGTGCAAGCTCCATAAATGGAATATTTATCTTGCTGTTAGAGCTGTAAACGAAAATGTGAATGTGTGGCGCTGATTTTTAAAGTGTTTGTCTGACTAGAAGCAAATCCCCTCAGGCTGTTACAAAAGTGTTGGAAATTTGTTTTCTCTGAGTCAAAGTTTGTTTTCATTTGACCTGAGATATTAAGAAGCTGTTGCGTAATGGTTGTTAATATGCAGACATTCTTCCATTTTGAGTGCTTTTGCAGAGTTAATGCAGTGATTAGACAAAATTAAGCTCCTGCAAATAATGTCGACATCGGCTGAATATGCAGTAATTCGTGGGATCATAATTAGGACACTAATTATAACAGCACTGACACGCAGCAAGACAGTACATTTTTGCAAGAGAGTTAAGTAGGTAAACTTTGATGAGACAGTGTGATAGAATAAAATTACTGTAACCTTTTGCCAAGTGTTTTTAAATAGCTCTTCTTAGTGACATGAAAAATAGGCTGACAAAGTAATGAAAGTGTTTTCGTTGAGTGAGGAGACTTTGTTCTCTTTCTAAACCCTGTAGGGTTTTTTTTTTTTTAAGACGCCACTGCAGTCGATCCTCTTTTTGTTTCTGCTGTCAGCCTCCTCAGTGTCCTCTTTCCTCCCCGGACCTGCAGTCTTTGGTTCTTGTCTCAGGAAGTAATCAGCATCATGCATGACAATAAGGTTCGGCTCGTTTGAAGCTGCTGGATGCCACAGTTGGTCCAAGCGAAGACGACTATTCTTGGCTTCCTTCACACGAAACCTGCATGTTGTCAGGTTGTTTTAAAATATGCCATGAATGTACGTGCATGCCAGCAGCTATGATTTCCACGCCTCTTATTATTGTCTATGTACAAAGCCTGCCAATGCATCCTGGTTGGCACGCCTTGTTGACAGGCGTGTCTTCAAGTTGTTCATCAAGTTATCATTTGCATAAAAGGTGGTAGATAAATAGATAAATAGAGGTCGAGGCGTCTTTCTGCAAGTCAGACATACAGCGCAGCTCACCGTCTCTGGGAACTTGGGAAGAACTTTTGACTGTTAAGCAGCTGCACGGATTGTTTCTCACCTTTTCAGAAACATGCTTCACGTCGACACCCCACAGATGACGCCTCCGTCCAGTGAGGTGCTTGTATTCTCCTCTATCACTACCAAACGGCTTTGGAAGGCTCTGCCTGAGGAGTTAAGGCTTACTGAATCAGTGTCTTCTTTTAAGTCTCTTCTTAAAACCCGTTATTGTAGGCTGGCTTTTATGTAATGTTGTCTATTTCAATTTTATTTTTTATTCTTCTTATTATTTCAATTGTCTAATTGGTTTTTAGCTTAATTCCATTGTCCATTTTATCCCCTTTACCTTTTATTTTCTTATGTATCAGTTGTTCTTATTTATGTTAATGGTTTTACCCTCTATTTTTCCTTTATTCCACTTGTTCTTTCCCTTACTTGGATGTGGCACGTGATTATTTCTATCTGGTGTTGTTTGTGCTGACCAGTCTTGTGTTGTTCAACGTTCTACCTGAGTGTCCTTCTTTCCCTCTTTGCCATGTCTGCAAAGCATTTTGTAAACTCTGTCTTTAAAAGTTGCTATTTAAATTAAGTTCTTATTATTTTTATCGTATTGGTGTCAGCCTAAACAATACTGCTTGGCTCCTGATTGTAACTCTCACCAACTTCCATTGTTCCAAAAGCATTTGACCAACTAATCTTGGTTTTAGTTTGTACAACAGTTTGCGTCACTCTTTTTGATTTCAGACAACTTTTCATGAAAATTATGTTCAACCAACAAACTGCAACAAATAAGTAAAATGAGCTTTTATTTTAATAATATAAGGCATGTTGAATTAACTGTTAAGCTACAGGAGGAGACCTGAAATCCTAAAAGGTGAAGAAAAATTAACTTATCGAACCAATTTCATTAAGTAAAGTTTATTTCTAAATCAACAAACCCAGACTTTAAACCATGCGCAATATTATTAAAGCAATAATGTTAAATTATATTATAAATTAAATTAAATTTTATCATAATCAAAGTGCAGGCTGGTTTATCACTCAGTTTCTCTAACATAAATATTGAATTGATCGTCCTCCTGCTCTAGTGAAGGAGCAGTTTGCAGGCCTGTTTTTTCGGCAGCACAGTTGCATCAAAGCAACACATGAAATACTTGGAATATTTTCTGAACTTTTCCAGCAGTGATTAGTGTAAAGTAATGAGATTCCTATAATCCTCCGAGGTTTTCAGGTGGGCTTAGGTACTTCTGGTATAAAAGCCCTGTTGGTGGAGATTGCAGGCTGATGTTTTACTATGATAATCCTGCCGCAGAGGTGGATTATGATGTCTGACTTTGGTTAGAAACATTTCTGAGGCACGGTCACAGCAGCTGAAGTTAAGAGTCACTTGGTTTTGAATCAGTCTTCCTAAAGAGTTTAACTCCAGTGGAAAGCAGAGGTGAACTGATGATTTCACCCTGATATTCTCAACATTAGTTATCCCTCAGAGTTCGCTTTGTGCAGTTTGTGCCATTGATTCCCAAGTAAAGATTGATAAAAGGGCAGTAAATGATGTTCCATCAGACAGTTTTCTCTTGTACATCAGTCATGGAAAATGATGACTGTGCAAGTTCTCTTTTTCTGTTAAGCAGTGGAAAAAATGTGAGTTCATTTGCCAGATTTCACATTGCAAAACCAATGCTGAAACGATATATCTTACTGCTCCAAATGATAGTCACAGAAGACTAATACCCACTCTCACCCAACCGGTCGAGGCAGATGGCTGTCTTCCCTGAGCCATAAGTCCAAAGGCTGCTTTGGATTGTTGGGTTCTCTGTTGAAATTTGTAAGGTCTATACCTTACTTTGTCAAACGCTGTGTGATAACGTGTTGTAAACTGTGCTATACAAATACAATTGAATTGAATTGAAATTGAATTAATACAAAATAAGAATATTTCAGCACTGATGGATGCAGCTGCTTCCAAAGTTTTTTCCGATTTCTTGTCAGATATAGGAAAACAAGCAGAGAGAACTCGAAGAATCTTAATTTTTGGTATCAATATTAAAGCATGTAAAAAAAATTACATGAACTACAAAAGATAGTTTTATCCATCTTTACCACTGCTATAACTGTCACTGTGGTACGTCTGGTTGCTTCCTCTGTTTTTAAGGGTGTTGCTAATTGATCATAATCGGCAAACATCTGCTGGTAAAAATTATATAAGCTCATTTGTCTCGAATGCATCAACACTGTAGACCTCTGTGTGCTTTCCTGTGTCACTCAGCTTGCTGTGTTAAATGCTTTTTTCCTCCACTTTACTTGAAGGTGTAAAGTGATGCGTTTAAAGTCACTGACAGAGTGAAACTTGCTCAGTGTTGCATAGCGTCACTATCTCAGCCGTAAATCTGAGTTCAGCTGAAGAAGTTGAACATTCAGCCAAACTTGTCCCGTCTGCTCCTCTGACCTTCTGACATTTTTTGTTTTTTCTGTGTCTCACAGCTTTCCGAGAGGCAACCCTCCAGTGATGATGAGACCATGGTCCCAGTACTAACCTCCAGAAAAGCCAGTGAACTTCCTGTCAATGAAGTAGTGTGTATCCTGCAGGTATGTTGTCCTGCTGGACATCACGAAGCTCACTTAATGTATTCAAATCCGATAGAGACGAGACACGACAGAAATCCAAATGTTACAGAGCACTAAACCCCTGAGTCTTATTATTGCACCATTATTTCTCACTGTATACCAATAAAGTTATTCAAACACGAACAGTTGCTTAAGGTTTTACATGGGTCATTAGAAACCATCAAATTTCAAGAAAGTTCCCGTCTGACTTCCTCGGAATCAAGTTTTGTCTTCATATTATGAATATTTTAGGAGTTACAGACCATATAATACATAGGGTTGTGTCCAAATTTTGCACTTTTAAATTGACTTTTTCCATCTTTTCTGAGCCTCATAACTTCCAAAGTATAGGAGACAGACACATCACATTTTCAGGGCCGAATCATTTGGTACCCTGGATGTATGTATGTATGTACTTTAAGTGCTTGTAACTCTGATGATTATTAATAGTATAAAGGTAAAACTTTGCCTGGCTTTATTAAATATTCAAAAGTTATAGTACATAAAGAATAAGCTGATCCTGAGGGGGTCGAGGAGAACTTTATTTTTTAGATTTGATTGATTGTTATGTCTTATCTTTACTGCAATACACAGTCTCCTTAAATTAGAATTATTTAACAACATGTATCCACCAGTTTATCAGCGAAATGTTAAACTGAGCATGTTCTGTGTCGTGTTGGCGCCGGCAGGCCGACCTGCAGTTGGGTTTGACCCAGGAGGAGGTCAGCCGGAGAAGGGCGTACCACGGCTGGAACGAGTTCGATATCAGCGAAGAGGAGCCGCTATGGAAGAAATACATCTCACAGGTAACTAAGCCTTGCATTTAAATAGTACAGGAGATCAATTAAAGGTGGTGATTAATCCATTGCACCTTCTGTAGCTGGTAAACACCGTCTTTCACCGCTCATCCAGCTGATGTAGTTGATGTTCTCTGCGGTTTTGCTGCTGCCGACTTCAGTCTTCAGATGGAATAATCTGACAGCTCGTGTCTAAGCGCTGCTGACTTATCAGACGATGAGTCTCAGGAAGCCCTTCACACATCCCACCGCAGCCTGAACTCAGCTCCAGGATAAAACCGACAAACTATTTTTATCTCATGCCTGATAACATGTCTGCAGGCTCACCATGTTCCACAGTGTCATTGTTCTGTCACGAGAACACAGCGAAATGACCGAACGCACAGTGTGTACTCACAGTAGCAGTACGCCTCATTACAGTAACAATACAACCTGTTTATCAGGTTCACATCGTACCTTATTATATTTACACCGTTTAAAATTCACTTATTTATTTTAATGTCATGCCACTGAAAGTGTGATTACATAGCACGGTCGTACCTAATGGCCGACACTAATAGTTGCGGCTGCCTCCTGTGTCCACATGAAAGAAGACACTCAGACATGATAGGAGGAAGGAGACCTGCAACATGAAGCTGCAAATTTGTTAAACAATTGAAAAAATTTCGTCTTTCATTTGTATGAATTTCTTGTGTATAATATGCATAAAATATGGTTATTTGTAAAGATATTTGTGAAACTTTAGGTTTCATAAATCAAATACTGTCAGATATTTTATTTTTTTTAAAAACTGCCTGTCGACCCACTTTCAGCAGGTTTTTTTTCTCACATTGAAATTTAAATCTATGTGTGACCAACAATATCTCAGACGCTATCAAAGATAAAAAACCTGCACTTTTCACTGTTATTTTCCATGTAACTGATTGAGAATCTGTAGTATTGGACAAGTAGATAAAATAGTGAAAAAAATAAAGCCATCTTGCAAAGTCCCATCTTTGAGCACACATTATCAAAAAAAAAAGATAATCCAGAAGTCAACTAGTGATATTTTCTGAACCATATGTAGCTGCATGTCACAATAATACGAAAACAAAACATACAGAATACTTGGAAAATTATTTTATTGAAGCTCTTCACCTTACTACGTTAAGCGCTGTGAGATGACATGTTGTGAATTGCGCTATATAAATGAAATGAAACTGAATTGAATATAACAGGGATTAGTCAGCAGGACTCGCTTTGATTTATATAGGACAGAAATACTAAAGGCAAACACTCAGATTCATGTATGAGACAAACAAGTAGCAGACAGGCAGAGGACTCACTCTAGCTGGAAATCTAAACATCTGAGTGGTTAAATAATGGAGACAGCCTGAGGGAGGTTTGTTGTTGGTCTGTTTTGTCCACATGGACTCTGACAAGGACAGAAACTGCTGCTGAGACAAGCAGCTGGAGGACGAAGAGGAAGAAGAGGAGAGGTTAAATATAGAAAGCCACAGAGGATAGAAGGAAACAAAGAGGATGGAAGGATGGATTTTTAGCTGCCAGATGTTTGTGTGTGTCATTTACAACTGTCAGGTGTACAAATGATTCACGCTTGGCCTTAGTCTCAGTAGTGATTCTAAATTTGAAGATTATGGTGACCTTGTAACATTAAGATAAAACATGTTTAATTTTTTTGTCCCTCAAAATATGCATCACAACCACTGATGTGCGACACCCGCCGACACGCACAGTGTTGCCAACTTGGTGACTTTCTCGCTAAATCTGGCGACTTTCCAAATCTTCTTGGCAACTTTTTTTTTGCCAAAAGCGACTAGGGACAAATGTAGCGACTCTTTCTGGTGATACTGGAGACTTTTCTGGTGTTTTGGAGACTCTGACGTGAAAACACGTATCGTTCTGCAGTTACTGTCCTCAACGAGCAGCGGTGCTGCCGTGAGCTCCTCCCGTCCCAAAGCGCTCACAGACGGTCAGGAGTCTGGTCAGCAGTTCCAGCTGCAGTCAGCAGGACAACCAGACGGCACTTTTACTTTGCTGCAGGTGGATAATTTAAGTTCGGCTTTTTATTTCATTTATACGAGGAGGACTCAAATAGACCTTGAGTACCATATTTTCCGCACTGTAAGGCGCATCTAAGAGCCTTACATTTTCTCAAAAATCGGCCATGCGCCTTATATTCTGGTGCGCCTTATGTGTGCACTAAGTTCCAAAATCTGTCAAAATGTTGTGTAAGCGCTGCGCTTGACTGACTGTCGGACCATTTCCCAATGACACGGGGACGTAATACGTACACTACGTACGCTGGCAGCGATATACCAATCAGAGCACGTACGCTTACCTCCGCCACCCCTCCGGTAGGTATGCTACCGGTATGCTGCAAAACAGCATTTGTTTGTCTAAGGACTCCCGAAAATGGCACCAGTGAAGAGACATGCTTATGAGGCACAATTCAAACTACAGGCTATCAGTTACGTGGTTGTTCATGGGAATAGAGCAGCTGCGAAAGAATTCAACATCAATGAATCTATGGTACTGAAGTGGAGGAAGCAAGAAAATGAACTGTGCCAAGTTAAGAAGACCAAACTGAGTTTCCGCGGGAACAAAGCGAGGTGGCCACAGTTAGAACAATGGATTATTGAACAAAGAACAGCCGGGAGAAGCGTCTCTACAGTCACCATTCGACTGAAGGTAACAACGATAGCAAAAGACATGAAGATTGAAAACTTTCAAGGAGGTCCGTCTTAGTGTTTTCGTTTTATGAAAAGGCGTCATCTCTCCATCCACGCAAGGACTCCCGTGGCGCAGCAACTGCCGGCGGATTACAAAGAAAAGATGGCCATCTTCCGCACCTACTGCAGTAACAAGATTACCGACAAAAAGATCCAGCCCAGCCACATCACCAACATGGACGAGGTCCCCTCACTTTTGACATCCCCGTGAGCTATACTGTGGAGAAAAAGGGGACCAGCACAGTATCGATACGCACCACAGGGCATGAGAAGTCGGCTTTCACTGTTGTTCTTGGTTGCCAGGCTAATGGCCGGAAACTACCACCCATGGTCATTTTTAAGAGGAAGACGCTGCCAAAAGAAAAGTTTCCAGCCGGAGTCATCGTTAAGGCCAATGAAAAGAGCTGGATGGACGAGGAGAAAATGGGAGAGTGGCTGAGAGAGGTGTATGTAAAGAGACCAGGTGGTTTTTTTCCACGCAACACCGTCCCTGTTGATCTGCGACTCCATGCGCACCCATCTCACCATTACTGTGAAAAACCAAGTGAAGCAAACCAATTCGGAGCTTGCCATCATTCTGGGAGGATTAACAAAAGAACTCCAACCGCTGGACATCGGTGTAAACAGGCCGTTCAAAGTGAGGTTGCGAGCGGCATGGGAGCAATGGATGGCAGACGGCGAGTTACGCCACCATATGTGAATGGATTGTGGATGCCTGGGCTAAGGTATCTGCTTTAACTGTTATCCGAGCTTTTGCGAAAGCCGGCATCATTGCTGAACAGCCACTTGACAACGAGACTGACTCCGACAATGATGAGAAGGAACCTGGCATGTTTGATGGCGAAATTGCCCAGCTGTTCAATTCAGACACAGAAGATGAGGACTTTGGTGGATTTGTGGCAGAAGAATGCTAAAAAATAATGTGAGTGTATTGTTAAATAGTAGAATGAAGTTCAACTAAATTTACTGTTTTGCTTCCATTACCTTTTTTTGTAGACCGTATTTTTTAACATGCGCCTTATAATTTGGTGCATCTTATGTATGGGTTAATTACAGAAATAGACCCTGTAATTGAAACTGCGCCTTATAATCCGGTGCGCCTTATGGTGCAGAAAATATAGTATTTTATTAGAAAGTAACCTTCAACCCAGTGTTTTTTTTGTTTGTGTGTTTGTTTTTTGTTTGATTTTTTTAGTTCAAAATGTTTTTGTTGCAGAAATAAAATTTCGTTTCCTCTGTCGCAGTTCATTGATTTCATAAATGCAACACACTATAGTTTTTTATACATAGCATAAAGGTAAAAACCATATATGCAGTGTAATCTTTATTTTTGATGTCAAAAGGGTTTTGTGGCTCACGGTGTTTTCTTTTCCGTGAGAAACGGGTCCAAATGGCTCTTTGAGTGTTTAAGGTTGCCGACCCCTGGTATATAGGGGTTTAGTTTGTTAAATGGCAACATGCTTGTGAATCTGAAAGACGAAAATAATCGTAAAACTCAGACTTATCAGGCGAACCCTTCTATCACATTTAACAACCTGTACATAACACAAATATTATTTACTTAATATACCTATTTTTTCCAGTTTAAATTGCAGAACTGCAGATTTCTGTAAAATAGTGATATAATGTGTCATTTTACAGTCAAAAGTTGCAAAAGAAGGGCTGCCGCTTTAGCTCACCTGGTTGAGCTGGCGACCCATGTATAGGAGCCATAGTTTCCAATGCAGCAGCCATGGGTTCGAATCCTGCTCATGGCCCTTTGCTGCAACCCCTTCCCCATTCTCCTCCCCCACTTTCCTGTCTCTCTTCTAACTGTCCTATTTGATAAAGGCAAAAAGGCCCAAAAAAAAACTTAAAAAAAAAAAAAAAAGTTGAAAAAGAACAAAGTACTATTTCTATAGATATACATTTTTGATGTGGACGGTATTTACAGTTGCGGCCTGTTTAGTAGTTAATTTAACGTTTACAGTTAATGTAAAATACTAGTTACACAATGATTTTGTCGGATATTGTCTGCGATTTAACAAAACTGTGAAAATCTTTAAAATAACAGTAAATTCTTAAAAACAAAGAAACAAAACACTAGAATTTTTTTTTTTTTTAGCGGTGTACATGTTTGAAAGTCGGCACCAGTTGCTGTCGCCTCTGTGACATTATAGACGGAAGAATCCAGCAGCACAGCTTTTGAGAGTCCGGGAGCTGCTGTGGTTTAAAGAGTTAAATTCTCTGCTGCTGCTGCTGTTCGTGTTGTCGATGTGGAAACCGGGTCATTTGGATGCTGCAGCTGAAAATAGAACTGGAACCGTTGGCCCGCTTCAGTCAATGAGCTCCAGCTCTTTGCTATGGATGACTGGCACTTGTTCCAGCTTGTCCAAAGCACAAACGCACACAGTGAAAACCATTTTCAGTACTCAAGCTCTAACTTTGATAGAACTTTAACTGTGTCCAGGTTTCAGACAAAATGTTGTCACTTTCTGAAAATTGTAGCGTTTATTTAAACCTGATTGAGATTTCGTGTCAGAGATGTGGGTTTATCCACACAAACGCATGGACATTTTCAAGATGCTATTCACATCCAGAAAACACTGGCTGCACTTGAAAAAAAAAGAAAAGTAGTTTGATTCCTCACTTTCAGAAATGGTCTCATTTTCCTTATTTTTGTTTATTCCAATCAGGCACATTTCATAAACGTGGCCATCGTGGTTCAATGGGCTCCCACTTTTCTCAAATATTCATCACTTTTACAAAATGTCCCCACCTTTTAAAATGTCTTCTCTTTGTTAAAAATGTCCCCACTTTCTCAAAAATGTCCTTGTTTTCTAAAAATATCTATATTTTCTACAAATATCCTGTTCTTCTTAAAGCATACTCACTTTATTTAAAATGTCCTCAGTTTCCAAATATGTCCTCTTTGCAAAAAATGTCACCACTTTTTTCAAGGGCTCTCACATTTTTAAATTGTATCACTTTCTACGAAAAAATCCTCACTTTCCTAAAATTGCTTGATTTTGCAAAGATGTCTAAGTTTACCAAAATGTCTTCACTTTACTGAAACGTCAACACTTTCTAAAAGTGTCATCACTCTCTCAAAATGTTCGCACTTTAAAAATAAATAAATAAATTGTTCGAATGCCAGAAAAATGTTTTTGCATTTCAAAAATGCCCTCAAACTAAAAGAAAATCCTCACTTCACAAAAATGTCCTTAATTTGGTAACATTTCCTCACTTCATTTATCTGTTCCTACTTTTCACTTTCCAATAATGTCCTCTCTTTTAAGAAATATTTTCATGGCACGTTTTATTTATTTATTTATTTATTTTTTCAATTTACTGAAATATCCTCTTTATATTAAAATGTCCTCTCTTTTAAAAATTTCCAAATTTTTCTAAAAAAAAATGTTTCCACTTTGTAAAAATGTCCCCTTTGCGAAAAAAAAGTCTCCACTTTTTTTCTTTTATTCAAAGGGTTCTCACTGTCATAAAATGTCTTCACTTTCTACAAAAACATTCTCACTTTCCTAAATAGCTAGCTTTTGCAAAAATGTCCTAATTTTCTTAAAATGTCCTGACTTTACTGAAATGTCCCCACTTTTTAAAATTGCCACAACTTTCTAAAAATGCACACACTTTATTAAAATGTCCTCATTTTACTAAATTGTCCTCATTTTTCTGTCCATTTCTCTGCAGTTCAAAGATCCTCTCATCCTGCTGCTGCTGGCGTCGGCGGTCATCAGCGTCCTCATGCACCAGTTTGACGATGCCATCAGCATCACAGTGGTACGTTGCATTTATAAATCCGTCTTCAGCACAACTCCGTCCCTTGTGTCTCCTGCTTTTGCCTCGTTGCCCATGAAAAGCCTGCAGATCTTGTAAGGTTAATAATAGAAATAGCAGTTTACGGCGGAGGATCTGTAGCTACATGCCGCTGCTGTCTGCCTGCGAGTTTGGCAAATGAGATTATATAAAAGTTGTTTTTCGTTTCTGTCTGGATCCCTGTGGGGAAATGGTGTTGCAGCAGGGGGAATAATTGCGTTGATAATGTGCAGGATAAGACAACAACAAAGGAAAACATTAGAGAGAGTATGTGTGTGGTATCAAAGAATGCAAAGATAAAAGTCCTGCGGTGTTAAACGTCCGTGTGAAAGTCAGATGAAAGACGAACAACAAGCTGCTGATTAGCGTGTTTCTCAGAGCCTCAGTGAGAGAACAGCTGAAAATGGAACGTCATGAGGTCACTGAAAGCAGGGCTGGTTTTCATTTCTCGATTATTTTCTGATTTAATCACTCAGCTGTTTGGTCTCTACAATGTCAGAAAACGTTTTGTGTCTGTGTGGTTGTTTTGTAGTATCTTTGTGTCTCTTTTTAGGTGCTTTGTGTCTAATTGTGGTTGTTTTGTGCCTCTGTGGCATTTTTGTGTCTCTTTGCGGTACTTCTTGTGTTTTTTGTTTTTTTGTTTTTTTTGGGGGGGGGGTATTGTGTCTCTTTATGATTGTTTTGTGTCTTTTTGTGGTAATTTTGTGCCATTCTTTGGGAGCTTTGTCTATTTTGCAAGTTTGTGTCCTTGTGGTCATGTTGCATCCTATTTTGTCTGGGGTTTTTTTGCTGGTTTTGGGTCTTCATGTAATAATTTTCTGTCTGTTTATGGGAGCTTTGTGTCACTTTGTGGTGCTATTGTGTCTTTGTGGTCATTTTGTGTCCCTTCATTACGTTTGTGGGGAGGGGCTTAGGCTTGTTTTACATTACTTTTGATTCTTTGCATCTTTTATTGGTCATTTTGTGTGTCTGTGTGTATTTGTGTCTCTCTTTTTTGGTGTTTTGTGTCTCTTTGTGGTCATTTTCTGACTGTTTGTTGTCATTTTGTGTATTTTTCCCATCCTTTTATTATTTTTTTTTAGCTTTTAATGGTTGTTGTGTGTCTCCTTTTGGGCATTTTGTCTTTTGTTATGTCGTTTTGTGGTCGTGTGTGTCTTCGTAGTTGTTTTTGAGACAGTTTTTTACAGTTTTGCCATTTTCCATTAACTCTTTCTTATACAATACTTTGAATGCCAATTATGTTGATCCAAACCCAATCAAAAGGCAGGAATTTCTGTGCAGAGAGTCGTGAGTTGCTGTAGGTTTCAGAAGCTGGCAAAAGAAACTAAAGAACAGTGTATTTATTACCAGGATATTCCAATAAAAACAGTTGTGGGTGTGACAGAGACTTTCAACCTGAAAATGACGCCCTTTGTAGACAGTGAGGGAGGATGAGGTGTCACAGAACAAACAGTACATTTCATCATTACACTGTGTACTTATGTACTGTCAGTGTGTGTCACAACATGTAACTTATCAGTGTTTGTTACAGTGTTTACCAGCTGCTGGATTCAACAGCAGCCGGATGTCATTTCAGGAAACCTCCACTGTCAGGATGTTTGTGTTTTAAGAGTGACAGCAGCTGCTGAATGTGTCTCAGTCTCCACATCCTGATGTTTGCACAAACCGCTGAAACACTTTGCAGCTTCTCTTTGTCGTTTGTAAATCAGTTTAAGACTCAGTAGCCTATAGATTGTAGATCCTGGCTGCCACTGCTGTGGTGTGTGGAGGTTTTCATACACTCTTGCTGTCTTCATATAATAACATCTCTGAGTTTCTTAAAAGGCACTATGTAAAATATATTATTGTTATTGTATCACAAGGAATAAAGGGCAATCTCATTGAATAATACGTGAGGAAAACAATCTGACATCAAGAATAAAATCCAAATACAGCAAAAAAGAGCCTTGAAGCCAAAAAAATTAAAAAATACAAAAGAAACTTAAAAAAAAATCATAAAATAATTCATTAGTAAAGTAAAATTACAAAAACAAGGTCGGAGTAAACTAAAAATGTACAAAAAAATGCTAGAATATTGAAAATAATAGCGGAAAAAATACTGTATGAATAAGGTTCAAATATAGCAACAATACAATTAAAACATCTCAAGAAAAGGTATTTTGCTGGTGAAATACTTGGAGAATAAAGAATTTTGAGAATAAAGTAAAAAATGTATTTAAAAAAAAAACTAATCTAGATATTTTTCGTGAAAAGTTAGAACACTTTGAGTAAAAGTAAAAGTAATTTTAAAATATTACACAATAGTGGTTGTGCTACTTCTGGTATAGAGCACTTTATTTTGACTGTTTGAGAAAACTGTATTTTGGTAATAAAGATAAATCAAATCATTTACTAGAAGGAAGTTGTGATTTCACATTTGGCTCAGCTTCTGATGTTTTGTTTTGTTTTTAGGTGTTAAAGTTGTGATATTGAATGTTAACCAGCTGTTTTTTCCTGTTTTTTATTTTCTAACAGGCCATCATCATCGTCGTGACAGTTGCCTTTGTCCAGGTACGTCCAGACCTCAGTCTCTGCTAACAAATACCTGCTCATGGTTAATGTCGAGTGTGAATCTGCTGCTGTTTGCATGTGTGGGTGGAGCTGATGCATGACTGCATGTGCACTGATGAATGTGATTTGTGTTCTGTGTGTTCAGGAGTATCGCTCAGAGAAGTCTTTAGAGGAGCTTGGGAAGCTGGTACCTCCAGAATGTCACTGGTGAGAGTATTGCTCCTCCTCATCTTCTTCTTCTTGTTTTCCTCTGTGGTTGCAGCACTGTCGATGTGAAAAGTCCAGTTCAACAGGCAGCAGTAATAAATATTTACATATATATATAATTTTCTGGGAATAAAATCAAAATTTTAATCAAAATGAAAGTTAAAAATTTAAGAACATTTTTAAAAATATTTTGTTAAAGTTGAAATATTGCATTTTCAGAGTAGCAATCATAAAATTTAATTATACTAGTAAAGTAAAAAAAGTTATAGAAATATATTTTTCTAAATAATATGAAATTTAAATTTGTGTATTACTTTCAGAACAGAAGTCATAACACTGAATTATTTATTTCAGTCTTAATTACTAACAGAATAAAAACTGATTTTAAGAAAAGGAGAATAAATACGACAATTAAAAAAAACGATTAACACATGAAAATGACAGAATTAGATACCAAATTAAGGCAAACAATGCAATTATTCATATTATTATTCATTATTCATATTAGTAAGGTAAAAGAATACAAAATGTCATAGTTTCAGGTCAAATATTTATATTTTATTATTAAAATTAAAAATAAAGTTGAAATATTTCAGAGAATAAAGTTGGCTTGTGAAATTTAAGATATTAGGTGCAAAAAGTGTGCTGTCTGAACAAGAGAAGTCTGTTTCTTCTTCTGGGTTTGCTGAATAAAACAATAAAAAGAGATGCTTAGATGTGAGAATACAAAGCTTAGTTTTCCTCATACACATGACAACACTGATCCACTGTTTCAGATTTACGATTTACTGCAGAGCCTGTTTAGGGAAAGCTTTGTTTTCGATGGCTGAAATAGAGACAAATCTGCATTTTTGAATTTAAATGCGTGTGGACTTGATTTCCACTTCAAATAAAAGCAGAGAAGAAGAAGCTGCCTCTTGACCTGGCACTGAGATAACACAGCAACACACACTGTAACAGCAGGACTGTAAACCGAGAAGGTCTTGTGTTGTGGTTGAACTCTCGGGAGTGCTTCATCGCTCGTTTTGTTTTTCTCCTCCTCATCCCTCCCTCATCCACTCTCCATCTCTCTGTACCAACATTTGAGAGTATCAACACACAGAATAAACACAGAGCTTCAACTCTGGAACAGCAGGACTTCCTTTTGTTTTATGTCTCCTTTTTCATGTTTTGTGTCTCCTTGTGACAGTTTTTGTCATCTTCTTTTTTGTTTGTTTTATGTGTCTTTGGGACAGTTTTGTCTCACTTTCTCATTTTATCTATTTTTGTGGTCTTTTGTCTCTTCATACTGTAGCTATTTAACTATTTCCCTTTTTACAACCTCTACAAACTTTTTCCACTCTAATCTGCACGTCAACTGTAGAAAGATGTTTCACCATGTGCAGTCTATCTTCCAACAACGTGGTCTTCTCTTTACCTCTCTTGTTCTGTGGAAACATTGCCTGCAGTTCACCTAAAATCTGAATTATTACTGTGAGTGACAGCTGAGTCAGTCATGGAGAATCAGTTATGCCAAGAATCTCAGAATAATTCGTTTTTTACAGAATCTGTTTATGCAAATGGTTTGTTTTTGCAGAATTTTTAATGAGCTCTGTAAAACTGATTTGCTGAAATATCACAATTTTATGCTCAGATTTGGTCAGAGGAATGCAATAAACAATGAAACGTACCAGGATGCTGACCTTCGGCACTGCGTGCATACAGTATTGTAGTATGTACGATGAGCATCCCCCGAAAAATGCATCACCCCCTGAAGTTGATACAATCATTCCACCAAGGTGTATAGATAATTCATCACACATACGATATCCAGTCTGATCTCACGTGCTATAGATCCCAGTGAATGTGCCACGCCCCTCGCCGTGGAGCCCAATGGTGACCACGTGTCCTTGCTCTCACTCGCATGTGCAATATCCACCTACGCCCGGCACGCTCAAGTTTGAAGTTGTGCGATATGCGTGCGGTCAACAGTAGCAAGCTGCCAGAAACTGAACAAAGACAGTCTTGTGATAGCAAAGTCTTTTCACTATAAATGTGTTTACCGAGTGTTGTAGGTCGTTTCTAAAGCTTACTTGCACACTGCCAATGACGATTATGTCAACAGAGCAGCAGAAACTTGGCAAGGTCGTTTTAAAGTACAAATCACTCCATAACTTGTGAATGAAGCAATTTTAGCAAAATCCACCAGTCACAGATCTAAGTTATGGGCTCTACTGTCTACCCTTACAGTTTCAGGCCTTAAAAGTTAACTGTTCCCAAGTTATTTGGTAACAAACGAATAGACAGACAGACACACAGACCAACTACTGTAACCTCGCATGTGCCAAAGGTTAATAAGTTTCTGTTTTTACAGTTTTTAGCTGCTAAATTCTGTCCTTTTGGTAATTTGTTCTTCTTTTTCTTCTTCTTTTTAATATAACAAGCAAGCGTTTTGAAGCAACTTGTGTTTACCATGTTAATGTATTTTTTTGGATGCCCTATAGTTGCCCCTACACTTTCTGTGGCATTGAATTTATTTATATTTATATGTAATTGTGAGAGATTGACTATATTATGTTTCTTTCACTATTTCTATGATTCTTGATTTCTGTATGACTTTAAAACACCAATAAATATCAATTAAATATATATTAAACTAAATTTCCCTTCATATATTACAAAATAAAGCTCTAATCAATTGTTTTAACAAAGTCTTGATACTGTAAAATTATATTAAATGTATATATATGACAGAAAGGGATTAAGACAGAAGTGTTGCTATGTAATTATGTTTAATTGATTTATTTTTAATCATGTAAAAAGTCATACTATTGGATGCTGGATATAAAGTCTAAAAAAACCCCCCAAAAATTTTTTTCAAAAAAATAAAAATTTAAAAACTGAGAAAAATGTACAAATATTTCATTCAGATATTACAAGAAAACGAAGGTAACATTTTCAGAGTAGCAGTCATACCCCTTAGTTATACTAGTAATGTAAAAATATTAAAACATGTATATTAATAAGTATTAAAATGTTGCGTTTTACTGTTTATTTAAGATATTTCAAATATCTAGAAAATAAAGTTGGACTAAAGCAAAGCAAGCAAAGCATCCACATTTTAGTTAAAACTGCTCTGTGTCTTTCTATCTGTTTAGGTTCAAATGAAAGATAAATATCAATTCTTGTTAAATTTAAGTAAACACAGCTGGTTTAACAGTGAATCTCTGCCTCCCCTCAGCGTCAGGGAGGGAAACCTGGAGCACCTGCTGGCCAGAGAGCTGGTTCCTGGAGACACCGTCTGCCTGTCGGTGGGGGAGAGAGTCCCAGCAGACCTCCGCCTCTTCGAGGTACGAACCAACACAAAGTCACGTGTTCCTGCTGTGGGAGAATAAGAGGGATTCTGCATATTATTCCAAAAACATCCTGTTAGTGTTCACGTACCATCACCTGGAAGCTGCCACAGTTCTCCTGTTTCTGAGAAAGCAGAGAATAAGATAAGTGGAAATTAAAGTTTGAGACAAGATGCTTTGAGATCATATATGTAAATCTTAAAAATATGTACAAATGTACACGAGATACAAATATAAATAAAATAAACACAGGTTTAGAATAAGTTTATTGAAATCCCTCAAGGTGCAAATTAAAGTTGACATCTGGCTCTATGTAGCTGCTGGAACATGAAATTTATCCAGTGAGGAATCAATAATGTTTACCTTTTTTTTTTTTTTAATAGTACAAGAAAATGAATGTTAATTTTTTAAAAGAAGGAGACTAATACTTACACTAGTAGTGTGAAACACATTGAAATATTCTGAGAATTAAAAAACACTTTTTAAATGCATTTTATTTTAAAAATTATATATTTATTTATAAAATGTATATATATTTAAATTAAATGTGTTGAGAACTTAAAGTTGGACTATTTTAGATTTTAAAAAGTTTTGTCTCCGTAGTTAAATTGTTATATAGAAAATGTTTTCTATTTAATAAAATGAAAATAAAGTAAGACGTGCCATCTTATGTTGTTATTGTTGTTATTTATTTTTTATTTGTTAATTAATTAAGCCAAACTATTTGAGAAAAATACTTATTAATATATTATTAATAACGAAAATTGGTGCACTGTCTTCAGAGTTAAGTAACACTTAATTATTAGTATTATTTGTCAAGTTAAACATGTACACAAATTGTCAGTCTCAGATGTGTGTTTATGTTTTATTAATAAAGTCAAAATGACAGTTATTAAAAAATCTGAACAATCAATCACATATTTTTAAAAATATCACAAGAAAATGAGTGTAAAACTTTCCAAGTAGCAATCCTCACTAGGGTCGCAGGGGGGTTGGAGTCTATCCCAGTTGACTTAGGGTGAAGGCAGGGGACACCCTGGACAGGTCACCAGTCTATCACAGGGCTACACTTAGAGACCGACAACCAAGCATACTTACATTCACACCTACGGACAATTTAGAATCACCAATTAACCTCAGCATATTTCTGGACTGTGGGAGGAAGCCAGAGAACCCAGAGAGAACCCACGCTGCACGAGGAGAACATGCAAACTCCACACAGAAAGATCCCGGGTGCCCTCACCGGGACGCGAACCGGCGCCTTCTTGCTGCCTTCTTGCAACGGTGCTAACCACCTGCGCCACCTTGCAGCCCCTTGTGAAATATTTTGTTTTTAAAAAAAATCTATTATATGAATTAAAACTTCTAAGAAAGTTCCTCATTAAAATAGTATGAGGAAGAAGGATTTACTATTCTCATAAAGTTGAACATAAAGAACATAAAGAAAGAAATCCCTTTAATTTGAACATTTCCACTTTCTCTCTAAAAGTGAGCCAGATTTCAGGTTTATATTTGAAGTACAGAGGTTTTAATGTGCTCATGGTGCCTTTAGCCGCAATAAAAACAGAAGGAGGTTGGAAGATACTTTTATCTTAATTACAGTTATGTGCTTTCTTGTACTTGTAGCTGAGCTGCTAATAATTCTGAGAGCTGCATTGCTACAATACAAACCTTTGTGTGTAAAAATAGGTTAATGCTGAGAACTTTTTTTTTCTCGAGACAGCTGACACTGAAAACATCATGTAACGCTTTGCAGTTTGGATGTAAGCCTTCATTAAGAGCTTATTTTAATCAGCAGTTCCAGTGTGATGTAAATTTTACGTGACGACTGTGTGCGAACCACAAAGACAAGTCTTAAAATTAACCATTTGTAGAAATGAAGTTCTGAAAAGTCAAACTAGAAACTTCAAGTGTACAATTAATGCTGGCTGGACCCACTGTGTGTTCAAAGAAGTTAGTGTTAATTGTTGACTCGCTGTCTGTCCTCCACCTTCAGGCGACCGACCTGTCTGTGGATGAGTCTAGCCTGACGGGGGAGACCACCCCCTGCTCCAAATCCACCTCTCACCAGCTGGCAGCCACCAACGGAGACATAGCCTCCCGCAGCAATATCGCCTTCATGGGGACGCTGGTGCGCTGCGGCAAAGCCAAGGTACCGACTCCTCCCTCTGTTAAACATCACAACCATGACTAGAAGGAGGGAGAACTCAGAAGTGTCATCTGTGCAGTGTACCACAGTCACAGGTCACGAATCAGAATGAAGTAGAATTTTTTTGATCATTTATTTTACAAAATAAAAAGAAAAGAAATCAACATTTTTCCAAGTTTCTGCAGCTGTTACCAATGCAGGGGG